AAAAAAAAAAATTATTAATAAAAATTAGGAAAAAAATGTTTCATGGTTAACGATGAGACAACATTTTTAGGTTCCAGAAAGCAATACCGTAGCACAATTAGGATCTACGACAACAGGCGGATTAGGCCAATATATACTGGTACAGAGGACTGGTGTTGGAGACAGTGCACCGAGAGCATCTTCTGCTCCACCTCTGCCACCTCAGATTGCTGGAATGGGTGTCGGGGTGCATTTGGTACGTGGTAGACCAGCCAGCGCAGGGGAGGGTTCGCACCAAGCCGTGACATTGAAAGCAAGAGGCACCGATGGTAGGGGAGGAGGTGGCGCTGAACCTGGAGCACCCGGTATGATTATGGGTGGAGACCCACCACCCCCATGCGAATGTAATATGCGAGGTGCTATGGTAATATGCCGGCAGTGTGGCGCGTTTTGTCACGATGACTGCATCGGGCCTCAACGTATTTGTGCTACGTGTCTGATACGTTAATCATTGTTTAATGATTGTTTCTGTATAAATTGAAAGAGCAAACCGCGTGACTGGAGTGCTGAATATCAAATTGCGGATAAATGCGAACACTTAATTTCCTGGAATCCTTATTGAGAACATTGTATTGCATGAACATAAAAAACAAATAGGGCAAGCCTTTGTGCGAGCAGCCGAATTTGTTGTCCAGCACTTTAGCGGTGGTTTGCATAGCGAAGGGAATTAATGAATACAGTTGAAATGACTTGAAAAATTTCTTAAATGAATTTTTCTGTGATTCTTTTGCAGTATTAATTTGTGGTTGCTCATATGCAAAATTATTTAAGGTTTTACAATGTATCATTGTTGTTTTATTTGTTTTATAATAGTGAATGGTTTTTACAAGATTTTAATGTAATGACTTTTTGAGCAGTAATTTTTTAATTGGTTTTATGAATGATTTTAATCGGTGATTTTTTTTAAATGAAATAAAAGGTGGCGTTACCTTGATGATTTGAATCATTGAAATGTTACAACTGTATTCTTATAATTCTCGTTTAATAAGAGGGTAAAAATAAATCTCTTACAGTCAGACTCTAATACCGTCTTCCAGTAAACATCACATTCTTTAATATGCGTCTTTACTATTTATTTATTAACAGAAATTTAAGTTTATAGGAAATATTCCTGTACATGTTGATCTCAGATATTTTACTAAGGAAAATCAGAGACTTATTCTTACATATGCTCTCTTGTACTCATTTTTCTCGATAATAGCTTTCTAAGCCGCAGGGACGAGTTTTTCATTCATCACGGGATAGTTACTATAATGGAACATCTTGTACAGGAATGTTGTTTAAGAATGAATATTGATGATTAATATTATTAATCTATTGCAATGATGAAATCTGATTAGACGCTAAAAAAAAGTGTAGAATTTACATATTTTAGCTTTACCTCTTACTTCCTTGTAAACTAAATTTTCTAGGATAAATATTGGATACGTTACTTGCTTCGCATTAGCGTGAAATTAAATATCACAAATGAGGTACGAGAAAGGAAAGAAAATGGAAACGCATAAGAGTAAAGAAAATCATAGTTCCGCGATCGACAATTACATTGTGTACATAAATTCGCATTCTTCAAACGTTCACTTTTTTATGTATGTTTCCGACTCTTTGCGGGATATGATTCTTGTTTTACACGAAATAGACATACGAAAAATGGAGATCTATCATAAATATTATTTTCTTATGCAGTTGTAGCCAAATACTGGATTACGATCGTTGCGTCTGTGCATAAGTATGATAACACGATTCATCGTGTTTCGCAATCATCTCTCAATCGGACACATCGATAATTTACGTTCGTCGTATATCCATCAATTTCCATATTGATACGTTTCTTTGGAATCACCGATAAGAATTAAGTAGTATTATTGCGATTCGATAGAACAACTATTGTGTATTTGTCGCTCAAATGTAAATAAAATCATATTCGTTTAATGTGTAAATTCGTTTAATGTGCGCAGTGTACGCGATGACTAAAGTGTGAATTTGGTGATTGTGAGCTTTGTCAGGGAAACAACACTTAACTGATACAGTGAAACACAGCAATGTGTATTTCTGATTGATACCCTTCCTAGAACCATCTTCAGTATCTCGAAGCATACTACGCCGTCATTGCAACGTTTAACGTAGGCTGAATTCGTACTTTACACGATAAACACAGTACCTATCGAAAAACAGCAATAGCCACCACTTAACATGCATGTACAAAGGTATTCTACAGTTAAGAATGCTGAAATTAAAAGTAGTATTAAGTCAGACGAGAATATTTCTTTCAAACCATGAAATTATTTTTGCCGATTTTTTTCATTTCGAGTACCAATAAATTACTTTATGATCTCTGTTTATACTTTTTTACATTGGAATTGATTTTTACATATTGATAATCGTGTATGAGATATTTTTTGTAATTTTACACACTTTTCATAACTGATAGAATCAATGGCTGTGATAATGTTTCTTATTGGAATTTTCATCATACGAATTTGTACTTCTAACGTGTGTTTCATTCATTCAAATAAATTCATGCTGTGACGTCCCTGGACATCCTAGACTCCTTCATAGGCGGGAATTTGACTATACATCTAGGAACTTTATTACTACACTGCACTGGTGGAGTACCGCTACATCACTCCCCTCCCAATGGTTTGTACTTTTCTTTAAAGCTAAACCACGAATATTAAAGCTCTAGGTTGTATATTTTAGATTCGCTGCTCCCTGGTTCCTCTGTTTCCTTGGTACATGCTGGCTTCTGTCTTTCGATTGTAATACTGGTCATTTTTACCTTTCTTTTCCTTGTTTTCTAACATGAATCGTCAGATGGCTACCTTCTTCCCGCTGAAATCTACGGGCGATCACGATTTGACATGCTTGACGTAGGTATGAGTACAACCAGCGAAAGTAGGATCAAAATCCCGACTGGTACCAGAAGATAACTGGCGGAAGGATAGGCGGCCAGAACCAAAGCCGTAGAATCCGAGTCTTCCACCAACCCAAAAAGTGGACATGGAGTCATTCCATGCTAAGGAAGAAACTCTTGAGCAAGAGGAACTTAGCGGAACTTCGATTCAAAGAAAACGAAAATGTTTGAAAAAAAATACGTTAGTAATAATCAGAATAGAAAACAAAAGCATTGTTGTATATGAGCAGAAATTTCATTAGAAAATAAATTATGTAAATATTTGAATATAATTGTACAAAACAAGAGAGATGCTTTTGTTTGAATACGTGTGGTAAATAATGAATCGGAATAGAATATATTTTGGTCACTTTCGTCATAAAAACAAGATATCTAATTCATCGGTATACATTATACATCGCACATAAAAAACGATAAATTAATATAATAAACAATCCTCTTCAATTGCCATCATGTATATATCTTCTTACACTTTGTAATGTCATACCACTGTGACTCTGTTATTTAGGAGTTTCTCAGCTTAGTTTTATTATAACTTTCTACAAATAGAATTTCCATATTCGTATCTTTCACACAGTGTCGGAATGCATTTTCCATTACATTAGTTTTCCTCGAAAAATCTGTTTACTGTACATCGCCTTTTAAGGTACTATACGAAATAGTATTATTTTGATTTTTGCTGGAAATCATCGCGGAATCTACTTGTGTGTGACTAAAAAAATAAATAAACTTCATCCTTAACCGAAACGACTCACCCATTTTGTAGAATTTACCAACGTGCTTTACACGTATCAACAAATGTATAACTTCGCTGTTTTATGTATATAATTCGGTGCTAGACGTAGTAGTACCAGCATTTTTTGTAGTCATCATAGTGCAATTCGCATTCTTCGTTTGTACTCTGAACCATCATTGGTTTAAGTTTGTACATTTCCTCGTTAACAGCACATTTAATCTGTGCAAGCGAACAGCCACTTTCATTGTACTAATTTCCTATAAATGTGACAGTAACAAGAGTCACCATTTTTTTTTTTAATTCATTTTCCTCTCCGCTTATTAATTTGTTTCATCATAAAATGAATTTACACAAAATTAAACATGCTAACGGAAACTAAAAAATTGTTTCAGCATTTAATGTTAACAATTCATATATAAATAAGAAACATTTCAATGAATAATAATTCGCAACAAAACATGAAAATTGCACCAACACAATCTTCTAAGAATCACACAAAATGTACGTACAACTATATGTACACTTATAAAGAAACCGCGTCTGCCGATTTTATCCGCAGAATCAAATAAATATAATAAATAACAGACATAGAAAATAATAAATTAATATCACAAACATACAAAAAGTTTCAATTAACAAACCCTCGATTAAAACGGACTTATATAGTACAATTGTGCATCCGACTTTGACTCGCTCTACGAATTAGAATACATCTCTTAAAATAAACTGATGTCACGCGGACGCAGAAAAGTAACTTTTTTTTTCATTCGGGGTTGTCAGAGTATTTGATTGATTTTCTCGCTAGTTTATAATATGTGTGTGCTTATGTATGCGTACCTCTCACCTTAATTAGATTAGTATTTAAAAAAAGTTTACGAACAAAAGTAAAGATGTTAAGCATCGGATACAATCATCATTAATACACATTAGTATGAAATCTAAAATCATACGACATCCACGCAAAAGTTACATGTTATAAGAATATATATCTATATATATCAGCAAACCGAACAATTGAAAAAAGAATTGGAATATTTTTACTGATTCGAATTTGCAGTCGCATGGTTGAAAACTATCTCACAGCTTGATAGATCAAAATTTATCGCAACTCGATTGCTATTGCGCGAAGTAGATGTTCTGGCACATATACGTACATTACATTTAGTATCTCAACATTTTTACTTTTTCTCGCTGATTTTTCCACTTATTGTAATTTCTTCTTTAACTAAATTTTACGTTAAATGCGATATTATTCTTTAGATTTAGTGTTCACAACAATGTGGGAGCAAAGGGAACATATATGTACACATTCTCGTAATCACGAGACAATTCATTGACCAGGTTAAACAAAGATTCTCAGTTTTTATGAACTGAGAATGCACACAGCACGCATTGCAAATGGAATCGCCTGGATAGCTTTTTTTTTATTATTACGATTATTATTAGTAGTAATTATTAAATTGGGAAGCGAAAATAGTTCACCGTCTTTGAAAACCAAACGGAACCTTAGCCATCATAATGAAATACTCGACTCTAATCATATCATTTTCAAATTTGCATGCATTAACGATCTACTTAGGTATAAGCCTGAATGTAGGGACGTAGACTATATTAGATGCCACTGTGTGCCGATTTCATTCTAGAGACTTTCTTTAAATTCCATCATCCTCATTAAAATATTGTTAGATCTAACTTTCTTTGCCCACCATACATCCAATAATTGAAATCTTGAACGAAATTCCTGATCATTTCGATCATTATTTTGTGATAAGCGAAAACCGGATGCTATTTTTGTTTTACAATAAATATTATTTTGTGTGTAAATTGCATAGAGCAAGTAATATAAATTATTTAGAACGAACTCCGTTTCACAGCTAAGTTGAACGAAAGCAATAATAATATATAATTCTCTGTCGTTACTAAATATTAAATTTTAGAACCAACACAGTATTTGAGTCATCGTAATAGACATCACAATTCGTAGCAATTGTTTCACTCGTTGTTTCAAATATACCGACAACTATTCATAGGAGATTAATAGCACAAGGAGCACAAGAAGACACTGGTACGAGGAGAAGAAACCTAATCTACGTGCCTGACTCATTGGCACAGTAGCATGTTGCCCATTATCAGAATCGAAAACGAGACGCGCCATTTTGCTTAACAAAAATCTCGTGCATGGAACTTTGTTTTTCCGGATAGAATTCAAACATAGGCTGGCGAAAGGTTCAAAGTAAGTCGTGAAATAACATTGTTGCGTATCGTAGCCCGTGTTGTTCTTGAACTCTTGATTATCTGTATTACCATTATGCGGCAATCATGACAGACCACCATTGAGACGCCCCGTAATCGTTCTGCAGCCAATCGTTGTTCCGAGCTATGACTAGAAAAACTGGAGAATGCCTTTGGTGATGGTACATTGGCTGGACTACCACTGCCTTTGTAACTCCTGTACAACCAAATTTTACTATATAAAAAATAAAAATTTTTAAGGGAGACAATAGGAAGATGGTGGTACAATAATTAAATAAAATTATCGATATATTTGTTATACCTTTTATCTTGATTCTCTGTTTCACGACGTGCATGAGAAGGCGGCGTGGAAGTCGGTGTAAGTATCAAAACAGGTGTCGTAGTAGGCGTGGATGAAGGTGTCACGCTTTTCAATGATGAATCTTTGCGTCTAGAGGCTGGTGATGCCGGAGCAGATCCAGCTGCTCCGTTGCCTCTCAACCAAGAGCTCTTGCTAGTATCCGGTTCTGAAGATGACGGAGAAAGAAGAAGGCCAGGAGATAATAAAACTACCGGAACGTGGGCAAAATGTTCTGTTGGAATTCGCATCTACAATATAAATAATAATTTAATAAAAATACAGGAACATTATTTAAAACTGTACCAATGAAAATATGAGAATCTCACTTTGGAATAACATTTTACGCATACGGTTCTCTCGCATAAACGACAACGTTGCCCCCAAGGTCCTAACAATCCAAATCTAGTTTTTAGGCAAAGAAAACAAACACGTCGTTTTTCTACATCCTCCTTCACGCGTCCTTCTACGGGTAGAGATTCCAATTCAGCTTTAGTTAGTACACTGCGAATATGCACGATCTCCTCTAGAGTTAAAGAAAGCCTTTCATCCAGGAACATATCACCCAATGTAGGCTTCTATAGTAAATAATGTTTTCTCGTTATTAAAAGCCTTCATTTTAAGTTTTTTTTTTGCATATTCATTCTTTGATTTTAATTACCTGTCCTTTATCGTCCTGCCAGTCTTCATTTTGATCTTCAGCATTCTTCGTACCCTCAGCAATAGTTTGAGATCGTCGTGGTTGCCTTGTTCTGGGTTGAGGACTCAAACTTGGACTAGGATTCATGCTAACATTAGGACTAGGACCCTGACTCGATGCTGACTCCGTCGCACCTGTATGCTGCCGACTCTGAGGTCTCGAATGAGGAAGAGATGTAGTACCGGTTAACGCTGTAAGAGCTATGCTACGCCTTGCCGCATGTTTTCGAGCCGATGCTCTTCTAGATGGACATTGTGTTGCGAGATCATAAGCTACAAAAAGAGATTGATTTGAAATATTATTCTTCCTACTGTTTTTTGTTCATTGATCATGACAATTCAATAATTACATTCAAGTTGTGTGTCGCAAAATCGATGGTATTCATTTCTAGTTAAACGCAATCCACCTGTTCGTCGCCAAGGGTTCGCAGAACCTGCTTCGTCATCGTCCCTCTGATCTTTATGTCTGTTACGAGTAGTACTCCTATCTGCGAACGGGTAATCCTCCTTCAGTTGCCAATAATTCTGCAAAACCGCTTCATCCTCTTCTTCGAATCTTGTTACTGCAAATTCATCATTGTAATCTTCGTCGTCATCTTCGTCCTCCGCATCGAGCTGTTTATAGAGATAAATATAAACTTACATACAAAGAACTGAACATGTAGATACAAGAAACTTGTATAAACTAACAATATTATCTACCTTTAAGTCAAAATCGACAGGTATTACTTTTCTTCTACTTGTAGTTGAATTAGAGGTGTCCAAATCCCTACGAGGAGGTTTTGGTGCTGTAGGTGAGCTATCCTTGCCATCAACAGTACTGTGGATTTGATCTAAAAAATTGAATTCATGGAAACAGGCTCAAACTACATTAATTATCATTATGGAAAGCATCAGGGCATGTATGCTTGATGACTAATGAACATGACATGTGATTGTAATGTTCCTTCATAAAAAAAAAATCAAGTATTTGCAAGGTGGTGGTACCTCAGTAAATCTTAAATACATACATAACTGCTTCCTGTACAGAGATGCATAAGATCAAACCCAATAATTAAAATTACATAAAAAGGTTTATAAAAAGACCTTTACTGTATCATAAATAATTAATCCTTAGACAATTCAATGAAACTAAAATCGATATGCGTTATAAAATTTGATTATTACATATCAAGTATACTATTATTCAAGATATAATCAAAGCTACTGCATTAATTGTGGTATTACGAGACAGAAATTATCATCAATCATCCGAAGTACACTTCCATACATTTTACCCATGGTGTTGGCCGAAGAAAGATGAATGGTATGATTACCTGCGACCGTAATGCGCCTTCTACGCGACTTACGATTCCTGTTTCCCGGTACCCTAATGTCGGGCTTGATTCTCTGCCTCGGTTGCGGAACCGGCGGCACGTTTGTTCTGTTACGACTCGCGGTAGGCGGTACGTTGGTCGTAACAGTGCTGACTGATGTCGCAGTCGTGACATTCGCTTGATTCTCTGTCTGCAACCATTGTGCCGCCACATCCTGCGCGGGTTCTTGTTCCTGCTCTGGTTGTGACGGTGGAACTTCACCCAGGACTATCATGCGGGATTCACCGCCTACGATCGGTAACATTGTTCCTGCTTTCAACTATTACTCTCTTCCCTCCTTTTAACATGCAGTATGTCCGATTTAATTCTCGCCATTTTGATCTGATGTGTGTCATGAAGCAGACTATCATAAGAGCAGTTCGTCAAATAGTCATTTTCAATAATTAATGATTTTAAACAAGTATATTATATGTGAAACAGTTTAATAACTACATATCCTCGTACACTTAAACCGAACATACTGCCGTTCGATGTATATCTTTACAGTGGCTCTACTTGCGGCAACTACGACGTCCAATAGGAGGTCCCTAGTCCCGTCGGTTTTCCTTCGATCTTCTGGCTTGATTCGAGAATCTCACAGCCTACGGATCAAGTCGTTTTCTCATCTTTATTTATTCCACTTATTCAACTGGTGTAGTAATCCATCATGTTCCTCTTCTTTAGAAATACAGTTTAAAATATATGGTTACCAGCATCCAAACTGTTCCCCTCGTTCATCTGTTCGTTTTTTCCATTCTGCCAGATCCTTGGTCCACCGTGATGCCTGCAGGTCCGCACGTAGGGACTGTACATGAAGCACACGTGCTCGTTAGTGTGCCTATCCTCCTTTCTGTGCACTTGACTTACTCGTACACGGTTTAGACGCAATCCGATCGAATTTCACGCTTGAACTGCAGCTTCCCCCTGCCGTGCGCAAGAGGAGGAGAATACAGAGAGATACGAACAAATGAAAAAACCGAACAAATCGCGACCGAGGGACAACAGAAAGAGCGACACACGAAAAATCAACCCAGCTATCTCTAGCGGACGGGTTGCACGATGACGTTTCGGGCGACGTCAGCTCTCGCCCTTTGCGCGCTTTCGGTTATTGATCGCGGACGGTCTGGGGCTTGGCAATACTTTAAGCCGGCCTACCGTCGCGAACAATAATTCATACGGACTGACCCTTTTCCATCGCGATGAAAAAAAATTAGTCACGACGCGTACCAATCACTGTACAACTTATAAAACACGAAAATTTCATCTTTCTCAATATGTCGTTCGTAATCAATCGATTGTTTAGCACTGGGAAAAATTTGGAATAATCGATAGTTTATATTCGAATGGTTCTCAATAACGAAATAGTTCAGATACCGAGCATTGAATGATTATTATTGTTTGGTATTATGATTATTATTTAGTGGAAAAATGAAGACACAGATACCACTGTTCTGGTCGCACTGCGTTGCAATTACCAGGCTCTCTACTCTTGAGAGTACGTTAAAGATGAGCGGACTTTCTATAGGCAGTGTGCGCGCGCTCACTCGCACGAAACCTTCGCGCATGGATACTCTTAGGTGAAATATATTTTTGTAAAAATGCAGTCGCACGTGTGCAGCGCGTGGCTGTATATGCACACCATGTTGGTCCATAACGTTTCAAGTATACGGATATGCGTTTCGTATTAATGCAACTCTGTTAAAATGTTTCCTTGCTTATGATCAATATGAAGGCAGTTTTTATATATGTATTTATATGTAACATTGTTTCAATTTTTGAAACAGTGATACATTTATTTTATATATTTAATTCAGGATGATTTATTGAGGTACCATATAATGTGTAACAGATCGATGCATGTTGAATATCGAAATTATTGGTGCATAAAATGTGGATCGAATGCATTGGGGTTTTATGAATTTATTGAACATTCGTACACGAATGGAGAAGACATATTTCATAAAGCAAACGACAACATGCAAAAAGTTATCGTTATGCAAATAAATATTCTATTATGCAACTTACCAGTTTGAGGGGACGTTCTTTCAGTTTTAGGAACATATCTATTGCGAGACGACCTTAAGTTTGGTGGTTTTTTTATGCTTTCCATGAGTAATTCCCGGAGGGTCCATTCCTTTTGCAGAGGTGGTAGCTGTCTTTCAGAGGCCTGTGTAAAATTATATCACTAAAATCTATCGGAACTTTCCAAAATTGTAATCATTTTTACAAGGAATTTTCGTATTAAAAGTATGATTAATGCAATTTGAATGAAACGTTGTCCCTGATAGAATGTTACCTTTTTTAAAGGAGGTCTACTTCGAATAAATTCGAGAATGACAGCGTGAGCATCTTTTCGCAAATGAGGCGTTGGCGACGGTGTCTTTCTTAGATGATATCTCCTTTCTCGGATATCATCCATCAAAATTTCATACGGTGTTAACTCAAATTCTGCCCCCTTTCCACGTCCACGAGTGGTATTCTTTGAACCCAAATTGGCTTCCACTTTTTTTAGTTTCACACCCTTTCTCAGCTCTTGAATAACTTGTACCCAAAATCTTGCCTATTGAAATAGTTCTTTTAATTGTTCTCCTCTTGTAAACGCAATTAAACTTTCAGATAAAAAATATACATGTACATTAGACGAACAATAATCTCTATAAATTCGGCTAAATTATTTTTATATCCTTGTACTCATAAGTATATTAGAGGCTGTTAATACTAATCATATAATGTAGACTATTCCAAAAGTCACTATCTAATAGACTGTAAAGATTAAAATCGAGTAATTTTTGAAACATTCTACATAATAACATATTTAAAATGAAACAAAATCAACGCATGCATTTAAGGTACAGTGTGCGCTAATAATTTCATGATTTATAAATATCTCAACATTTCAAAATAGTGCTGATAGTTATGAAGTTAATCATACTGCATGCTTAATAATTATACTCGTGTCTAAGCTCTAACGCATCATTTTCACATGCGCAGACATTATATTAACAATGACATACTTGTATAGCCCTCCAAATCCTAATGTCAGTCTATAACGGTAGAGAGTCAAGTCAATAAATCTCAAATATCTTATCTCTGCAAAATGACAAATGACTTTATGCGACATGGCAATGTTAGTTGTTCCATTTTACACGAATTACAGCACGTATTTGTACATAGGTTTACGACAATTCGTTCGATTCAACAATTAAAATATATCTACGATTATCTTTACTACTTTATTACTTTTAAATTTATCTACTACTTAAGTATCGGGTCACATCGAACGAATTTAACATGAACGGTATACAATGATATAATTCGACATTATGTAGAGGATATTTCAAAATTATAAACTGTTTCTCAATACATGTTAAATTTGCATTGATAACTTCGAAACACCCTGTCGTAATGTCTTCAAACAAGAAAATGGTGTTATCTTATTGAAGTAAACCCATAGCATGAATCATATGATATGGATAGATGTTTTCCGCATTGGCGCCATGGAAATCTTACCCAATCAATAAAATCTAGCGTATCAAGGTTCTGAACGGACATCGAGGTTTGCTTATTTCCTTCAGTGTTCCCAGCATCCCTCTGACTAGCTTGCAATTTATCAGCTGCTACTGTATCCAAAAATTGTGATAATTCCAAAGCCTCCGCTACGTATGCCCGTATTACAGCTTTATAATGAGATTCAGTAGATTCAATGGAAGTCTGCATATGTCTGGTACATAACTATTAATAGATATATAAATTAAATATACATTTATCTATATAATTAAGAAGATAAAAATGTACTTAGTCATTGTGCTTACTTGCATTACATTCTTTAACGAGTACATTGGTGACCTTTCCTCGTAAGCGTCGTTACTTTTCTGCGACAAAAATTCATCTACATCGACATCACTGGAGTCCCGCTCGATGCCTTCATCGTCTGTTTCCTGCGGACGTTCTTCCGTTTCCCCTTCAATATCTATGTTATTCGATTCTTCAATTTCTTCTATTGCTAAATTATTAAATTCATCAATATTCATTTTACCTTCATCTGCACTAGTCATTAATGTTATAAGGGCTTCTAAATCTGGTGACAGAGGCCTTTCCTCCTGTTCATCTAGGCCGAAATCAAGCGCTTTAAAGATCATCATACCTAATGAGAACACCGCCTGTACCGATAAAAATGTATTCAAAATTTGAAAAAGAATTTAGAAAAATTTTATTTCGATTTCAAATCGATCGTTTACCTTTTTCTCGGAAACTTGAGGTTTCTTCGAATCTGTAACAAAATAATCGATACGGATAAAAAACAAGTTTCAAAGGTTATGGAATGATGATTCATACGTAGCCAGAAAATAGTTATATCGTAAGTAAAATGTGATGAATTATTTTCACGCTTTTCTTATGTACACAATCGCCGACTGTTTATTAATAGTCTTATCGAAAAACCTTGTCATGGACTTAATTACTTCAAGACGAGTGCACCGAGCCATTTACAAATAGCGCGCGTGATTTACAAGCGTATTTACGAAACTGTGACTTTTTTTTTAAATATCCCAACAAGATACCGAATACGCTGCTTAATGTATTCGTTACATAACGTTTATAAAGTTCATGGAATTATTGTTATCAAGTTTACTTACCCTGCAATCAAATTATGCTACGTTAAAACAACATACACTAAACGTGGTATATTACAATAACTATACAAATATTACCATGTAGCAAAATATTATACACTAAAAGCTATAGTTTACCACGTTATAATAAACAACTACATAATAATTGTACCATGTTTATATTACAAGTTATGAGGTATGGTAACTATGTATACAGCAACTATATTTGTACAAAGAAACAACTATGTTGCAACTGCACTCATAAGTGGCTTAAGTAGCTCATATGTCGCTTGAACATTTCAAAATTGAATAAACTTTTAATCAAAATTTTGAAATATATAATAAAAAAAAATGTTATCCAATTTTGTAAATGGTAAAATGATTTATGAGCCACCCTGTACTTTAATAGTGTTGTACTTTTTGGTTGTTGTGTAATAAAATATACACTGTACTATACAACGTATTCTATGTAATACACCTACTATACACAACATATTCAATATTCATAACCATGTTAATCGTTTGAAATTATTTTACATACATCCCATACCTTCATGTTCAATATTATTTTCTCTTATTGACTATAAAACAATACATCGATAAGATGTTTCGCAATGGATAAAAAGCTCTTCCAGAAAGATAATGATTAAATCGTCTTACCGATTAGATCGCCGAGCCAAACATCGCCATCCTTGTGAAGGACGATCTGAGATAACTCCGATAGTTCGTAGAAATTGTTATCCGGCAGACGTGACAAACTCTTGGCCGTTTGATAACACAATGCCCATGCTTGTTCTTGGTTGACCGGTCCATTGAAGGACCGTAAAATGTCCTTGAGATTCAATCGACCGTTCCCGTCGAGTTCGCACTTCGGCCTTTTCGTCGTTTTTTCCTCCTTTATATTCTCCCTCATTTTCTTTTCGTTGTCGGAGACATCAAGACCGTTCTTGCACGCTGATCTTTCTTTGTGCGTGGTCATTTTTCTGCAATTTCATTGATAAACTGTTTTTTTTTTTTAATATTTATCAAATTTTTAATGAATAATTGAGGAAATATATATATATTTATATGGTCCACGTGATCGAACCATAGAATTCGTAGGTTCGAACCCGGGTCCACAGCACTGGTAGATAATTACTTTATCAACAGAACTATTCCAACCGCGATGTTTTTTTTACATTTTTTTTTATGATAATAAAAAATTATAATACCTAATATTTGCATAATATAGTGTAGTAGTTAGGTGATACTGGTATTCACTACTATTGAATTGCGGAACCACGATTATCCGAACACTGTATAACCGGAGACTCTACTATTCAAATATCATTTGGGCTTTTCTTATTATGCACAGCAAATTAATACTTATGATGATGTAAAGCAATGACGAAAATGACGCAAAACAATAACATTGATATGATAAGGATGACGGTATAATTGAAGATGAAGTCATGAGAAACTAGATGAAAATCGTGACATAAACAATTTTAAGAATTTTAAATAAAATCGTACTTATGCCATAGAGTAAAAGTAGAAAGGTATCACACATTGATATACTGTTACGTTCTCTTTGGTTATGAATTATAGTGAATGCTTTATGAAACTTTTTATTTTTATTTTTAATTAAATCACAAAGCACTAATTGTTTATTCAAAATTTCACAATTTTTCAACTGCCGTCATTCTGATCACAACCATAGACTTGATTCATATACGTAGTGCTAATTAAACGAAAACCAGATGACTGAAGTATCTTTTCTGATTCTCTGTGCTCTTAAGAGCTAAATGAAAGCAGATAAACATTTATTACCATTGTCGTCACGCGTGCAGTGACGGCAACGTGCGTGAAAGATTATGATTCTCAATGTATCGTGATTACAGTACGCCCCTTTCACCGACCAGACCATTGCGGAATATTTTTATGGAAAAAATTTGACCTCGAAAGAATTAATGAAAACTGAAAAAATGACACGAGTAAAGATAGTTTATGATAAATATCCTATCTAATCTACTTCAAGAGACAGCTTTTCTTCTGTTTGTTAGAAGTATTATTTTTGAATGACATTTTTAGACTTTCAAGTGTTACAGATAGTTTATGGAAAATAGTTAAGAATGCTTTGATCGTGTTTTATTAGTATTTCTTGAAAAAAATTTCCTTTTTTAAATTTCGTTAATATAGTAGAAAGTCACGGAAAATATCTGAGCTATGATCACAATATACAATGATCATACTTATATGTGAATCCTATTGTGTACAAACGTGTCGATACAAAATACTAACTTTCAAATCACCAATTATTACGCGTAAACTATCGACAATATACATAATGCGTTAGTGTTTCTATGTATAAAATTGCAACCAAATACAAGAAAGAAGGATGCACATATTTGTTTGCACTATTACGAACTAATATATAAATGATAATTTTATGAATGTTCTCTGTAGTATTTTATTTTTTATACTCGTAGTTTTGTCAATTGTTTCTGTGTTTGTAATTCACAGTTTACACGATAGATACGATCAATAAAGGAAAAGTTCTGTTACAGTTCAAGGTTAAATGTTTATATTTATGTGACTCATTTATGCTATATATTTCTAAACAGGAATATTAAATTATTCTTATACACGCTCTCAAAGCATGTTTGCGCATTTAAAATAAACAATTAATATAATTTTATGTACAGATCAATATATATCGACTTCATTCATCGATTCAAATAAATATCGGCAACTTTTAACTAAGTCACGGAAGAATATAAATGGTGAAATTGGACATATTTCTACAGCTTTATTTAATAAAAGTTTTAAGATTGTTACAGCCGACTTATATTCTCAATAAAAATCGCATTGCAGTATCATCTTGCAAACTGGCATATTTTGAAATGTCATTGAAAGAACATTTCCCACTACGTAAAGTACATACATTATAAATAAATCGAGCATAAAAAAAAGGACTTAAACACAGAATTGTAATTTAATACGTACTTTTAGTTACTTAGGCGGTTGACATGCAAGTTATAGCACAAAACTCGTTTCAAAATTTTCACTACGTCATCACTTTCTGTTCATCGTTTGTATAAGATTTTACGCATCACTTTTTCGTTAAAGTAAAAAATTATTTGATGCACGGGTAACCTTTCGCGTCGAACTTTCCTCTTGCGACTTTTGACGTTGAACATATTAATTTTTCTCGAGAACATTGACAATCGAAAACCGATACGACACTTTGTTTATCCTCGATTTATAGTTGCAATGAAATGTTTCTTTGAACATTATGGAATTAAACGAAACATTCAATGTATATACGCGTATTCTCGGTTCAATATAACTACAGCAACACCGGCAGTACAGGTTTTCGTATGTTCCAAAATTTCCAACTTACTGTAGTCGTGACATACACTTAGATAGAATATAATAGTAGGAAAATAAATTAGCTTTAAATTTATTACGACAACATTTTAAACCGATGATCACCAGTAGTTTGGTACGAATTACGATTTAGACTGAAACTACTGATTGCTGCTATTCGATCCATAACCTGTACTTCTGTTATATGTATACAATCTGTGCATATATATACATCGCCTATCGGATCCGTGTGTCTGAAAATTGCAAAGATAAAGATATGCTGAACAGGTTCAGATATTTATTACGAAAAGTGTGGTGCGGACTTTATATATAGAAGCTTTATGTTATTTATATTTTAAGATAAGTTTTTACAAATAATGATAACAAAAATCATAAAAAGTTCTGAAAATTAATGATAAAAATTGAAAGATTGAAAAACATTTTATTTTTCTTTTGAAAAGAATGATAACAATTGAAAGGGAGTACTGTGTATGAAACCATATCCAAAGTGCTTTCTTCCCATTGGTCAGTGTCATAATATTGACCAATAGGGAAGCTTGTCAAGGTGCACAAGTTTTCCTCAAACATTCAGAAGTGTGAATCATACTTTGGACTTAAAAGTTGAATTTCTGATGCAATATTCGTTAACAAGACGTGAATGCACTGTATAGATAGTACGAACGACAGTATTGAGATCCGTGTGATTAAGATGTTCGTCTGTATTTAAAGTCCAAGTAAATTGATAAGTTTATTGAGAACACCAAAGTATTTAGAGCGATATTCAAAATGACGGAAGAAGACTCGGTAAGTAATGATATAAAATAGTATCTTTCGATAGGGATTCATGTTGTATTGGAAAAGCATGGGTGCATGATCATCTTGACATACTTTTTGATTTTTTGACAATGTACTAAAGCCTGTTAATAAGGAAATATACTTTTCACCAGTACAGAAAGAATATATTGTAATCAAACATACATAAAATAAAAATAATGCCATATTATAAATTCCAACCTCAAAACCATGTGGATACTATCCGAAAGAATGTAGATTTATGTTCCATGTAATCTCTTGACAGATATGCTGTTATACCGTTATTTATGTTGTTATAATGTATTTGATATTTACTAAAATATGTTGTAATATTTTGTAGGTGTAAATGCTTTTAAGATATTGTAATGTAATATTTAACCTGTAAAATATTTTGAAGCAGACTTAATACAATAATGAGGTCAATGTATCATTATATCTTTGTATGAAAATATTGTAGCTGCTAGTATTTAATTTTTACCTGTAATAATTAATAACAATATTAGGTATCAATAAAATTGCCATTTTTAATGTTTTTGGATTCGTTTAATGTTTCGGATAATGTTTTCTTTCATTTAGTAATCTTTTTAGATCTGACAAATAGTTATAAATATTTGCAGGTGTTTGATCCTACTTTGAAAAAGAAGAAGAAGAAGAAGAAAACCACCTTTGATCTTGATGCTGCATATAATGAAGGTGGTAGTACGGGTGATGCAACAGAAGCCACTGGTGATAAAGAAAATCAGGAGCCTGAGGCTCTTGCACCAGCTGAAGATGATGAAGCATTGGATTTAGAAAATTTTGGTAGGAAGAAAAAGAAGAAGAAAAGAGCATTTAATTTAGATGAACTTGATGCAGCTTTACCCGATACAAAAAAAGAAGTAAGTAGTGATACATAATATTGTTACATGTATTTACAATGTATTTAATTTATGTACTTACATATTATGTATGTTTAAGGATGTTGTTGAACAACAAACAGAGGAAGTAGCTGTGGATGATATGGATTTTGACTTAGATATGGACTTTTCAAAGACTAAAAAGAAGAAAAAGAAAAAGAAAGATCTTGATGAGTTAGTGGCTGAGGAAGAACGCAAGGAAATTGAAGATAAAGAAAATGGTAAATATTACTTATAAGAGTTACATAGCTTTGGGTAACTAGTTGTTTATGTTACTCGTTATTTGTTAACATGCTGCACTGAATCTGAGCGAAGTGCAGAGTATGGTAAGGGATATGTTTGCTGTTTTCTATATACATATCACATATCAGTCACAAATACATATATCATTTCTGCACTTTCATAAATCTCATTCCAATATAAAAGACAAATGTATTTTAAAATAAAAATGATTTTGATCAAATTGAATGATATTTTATTCAACGTTGAAAAATATAATTTTAATATATATTAAATATTGAATGAGAATATTTTTATATACATTGCAAATAACAAGAAACAAAATGCTCGAGGAATCGTGCCTGCAACTTGTTTTCTATTACATTGTTACTTCAGTAGTTTCATTCAGTTATAGATATAGTTAATTTGGTTAAGATATAGTTAAATGTGGCTACTACTGTATAATTAATTAATGTTTCATGTTTTATACATACATATGTTTAATTTCATTAATGACAATAACATCAAATAAAAAAATATAAGTTTTAACTAATATAAAAGTAACAAAAACTCAGAAGAATGTAATATAGTTGATGAAATTAGGCATTTATCTATTTATTAAACTTTTCATTGTCTTTATAAATATTCAATCACATGCTAAATGAGTACTATATTTTCTAACAGAAGACACAAGTTTATGGGTTGGATCGGATAGAGATTATACATATGATGAATTACTGGTAAGAGTATTTAACATTATGAGGGAAAAGAATCCTGACATGGTTGCTGGTAAAAAGCAGAAGTTCGTCATGCGTCCTCCTCAAGTAGTACGTATAGGCACCAAGAAAACATCTTTTGCTAACTTTACTGAAGTAAGTTTCATAGTATTATTTGAATTTTCAATACATTGCACTATACATCCTTTATTGACTACTTACTTTACAATTTTTAATTACAGATATGTAAAACACTCCATAGGCAACCAAAACATTTACTTGACTTTTTACTTGCTGAGTTAGGAACTAGTGGTTCTGTTGACGGAAATAGTCAACTTATCATTAAGGGCCGTTTCCAACAGAAACAAATAGAAAATGTTCTTAGGAGATACATTAAAGAATACGTTACCTGCCACACTTGTCGTTCTCCAGACACCATTCTTCAAAAAGATACTCGACTATTTTTCTTACAGTGTGAAACTTGTGGCTCAAGATGTTCAGTAGCTAGCATAAAATCTGGCTTCCAGGTAATTATATCTAATTTTAATGTTCATAAATATTTTAGTATTAAGTTCTATAAGAACTAGTTTAACAGTTAATTATTTCTTTTAGGCTGTTACAGGAAAACGTGCTGCTATTCGAGCAAAAACTGCCTAAAGAAATTGTCATACATCACGTTTATCAATTTTGTAGCATAATTTTGAAATTATCAGAGATTTCTTGTGTCAGAACGCAGTTTTTACTATATATAAAATAATGGCGTGCAATCTGAACACTCATTTTTTACTCATGTGAATTGAACATCATCAGTTCTAAAAAAAAAAAGAAAGAACAATTGTAAAATTTACAGCACAACACTTTTTATCAACTCACACAGACAAAAAGAAATTATACAAATAATTATTTCCAAATAACGTTTCTTCAAGTTCCCCCAACAATTTTTAGTATTTTTATCTTACTTTTGATTTACAAATCTTCTCTTTTGGTTTTGAAATTTTTAATATATCGTTTACTCTTTAAAACATAGATAAAAATTAATATGATTAAGCAATTTTATGCATTCTAATTTCTTTCACAGTGAAAGATATGCAATTGTATTGTACACACTATTTGAATAGCAAAGATAAAACTGTCACACGATAATATGAAATGCATTATCCATTTGTCTACCATTGTGACATAACATCCTGTATAAAGAACTGTCGATTAAGTGTAAAATGGTATGGATTACCAGTTGTTAACGATAGTGTTAAGCTGGTAATAGTTTGTTATATCATTTTCTGTATACAAGGAAAGTGTAACATTAAATTCAAGTACATTATTACGTATGGCGAAAAGTATTATTCCCGGAACTATCTTTTTAATGAAGTGTTGCAATAAAACGCAATGATTTTTTTCGATGCAATCAATAATATCATTTCTTAGCTAATTTATTCAATTGTATTTACTAGGTAATAAATCTATCTTAAGAAACTTTATTATTCTTTTTCATGATTCACTAACAAAAGTGTAAAAATATTCATATTTATTAAGTTTAGTTCTAGTATTCTATTGTCATTTATAGTTTGTTGCAAGCCACCAAAATATTTTTTATTTCCATCAGTCGAGCAATGCAAGAAGTATCAGTTATAAAAAAAATGTGCAATTTTAGTGGTCATACACACATATTATAATAGTCTGCTTGAATACATATGTTAAATTTGCATACTTCAGTGCTATTTATGTATATTAAACAACGTAATAAAATTATGATCTTTTTGATTAAAAAGTGAAGACAGATTTATTCAATGAATGTAAAGCAGTGAAATCATAAATGATGCAAATGATTAAAAAATACTTAATTTTTTATTGCATCAGAACTATTCTTTTTTAATTCAGTTATTTTTCTTTTAATATAAATACCAGTATCTACTAGGCTCTGAAATATAAAAATTGGCATATTTGGCATTGGAAAATCTGCATAAGGGACCCATATTCGTGAGCCATCTTCTAATGTTTTTAGGTATACTGGCTGTGAAAATACTAACCCCTTTGGAATACCGAAAGAACCTACAAAAATAAAAGTATTTCCTAATTTGTTCGTTTTACATGTTTATTACTTTTGTAATACCATCAGATGCAATTCCTAATGGTATAATTTCATCCCCAATCTCTTCATTTTTTCTATACCATAATTTTAGAAGATCACAAATAGCTCTACATTTTGGAAAATCTTCTGATCTACCTACTTGATATTGAACAAGCGCCTAGAACGAAATTTTTATTTCTTTACATCATTTGGTAGAGAACGACAAAGAATATACCTTGCGTTTCAAAAAAGTTTTATAAGCATTTCTATTATAAGTCATATAAAAAAACCATCTCAATTCTGAATGTTCAGTTCCAAGTGGTAACACCGAATTTTTATTTAAATTTAGAGCTCTTTTAGTTGGATGATATACATTGCACATTTGAACCATATGATAAACATCTACAAAGTGGTTTATTCCTATAATAGAATTTAATACATATATATATATATACACACATATACATAAATGTACTATGAATCTTGGATAAACCATAATGAGCACTGACAACTACAATATTTGTATTAGGTAGTTTTGTAACTAATTCATGCATAACATTGGCATAGAAACATGGTAGGCTCATTGAGCAGAAAATTATTTTCATATGAGAAGGTGCATATTCATTTACTTGTCTGGATAAGTTTTCCATACTTTTATAATTACGTTCCAACCAACTATCTGTTCCTTCATTTTCTTCTCTGAAATATGTACACTTGAATGTTAACCAGTATTTTATAATATGTACAGTAATAGTAGATTTACCTTGGTAAACTATCAAGATAAATTAATATATTACAGTCTTTTAATCCATCAGGTATATTTTCCACAATATTTACTGTATTTAAACCAGCACCTATAGTTGCTGCATCTTTAAGAATTCTTCTAAGTTTAAAGAAGCATCCCGGTTCATCGTACAAATTAATAACAATACCATGAGTCAACCAAAGTTCCTTTGTCATTAATAACTGAGGAACAAGATCTGAACACATTGATCTTCCTGCTCCTATTATCATTATTTGGCGATATATTTCTTGTATAGCTAAATCCTTGCATTTTTGCTTCTTTACATTGTGAGCCTTCATAAAACGAATTTAATAAACATAATCATAATTAATTAATATTAAAATTATATGACACAGAACGTTTTCCTACAAGTAATAAATCTGCTTGTAATGCGTCGAGATCTTCTTTACTTAAATATGAACTGATGTTATAATAATCATGCAATAATTTCCAAAATTGAAAACTACCCCCAATATAATTTATATAGGTTCCAGTAAGACCAATTTCCCTCCATATTAAAGGAGATTTATCATGGGACCAACCATTAAATTCACAAATTTCTTTTAGCCAAGGCTGAAAAGCAAGTTTTATGTCAAATATTAGTTATGACAATAAGATGATATCAACTTACTTTCCATTCATTTGAACTTTTACAAATATTTTTATAATGAAAATTTGGTAATAATATGGATAAACTTTCAGCAATAAAAGATATGTGATTGAAAATATGGTCTCCTAAAATACCAGCTATTACAGTCAAGCATCTTTCTCCTGTCATTTTGTGTTACTAACAATTGAAAGACATTTAAGTACTGTTTTTATGAAAGTTTCCAGTTTAGTGATAGAAAATTAAAAAATATTGTTATAAGAAATAATTTATTTATACATACAA